CCCCCCCAAAGGCTTGCCCAGGCAGAAGGGCACGATCATGGGCACGCTTCGGAGCCTGGGCGCCCTGGCCAGGGCAGTGGGACCCATGGTGGCTGCCTCAGGTAAGGGCCCTGGGATAGCATTCCAGGCACGCTTGTGCCCCTGGGAGGCAAGGCCAGGGGGAGGCCACGTGGCCCTGCCATCCGCCTTCCCCTGCCTCCCCGTCGGTTCCTGCCGTGGTCCTGCCATCCCCGGGGTGGAGGCGCAGCAGGGAGGGAGGGCCCGCATCACCTCTCGGGCTGTCTCTCCACAGTGTACTGGCTGGCCGGGGCCAGGGTCTGCTTCACGGTGTGCTCAGGCCTCTTCCTGCTCCCTTTCCTGCTCCTGCGCAACCTGAGGCCTCCAGCCCGCATGGCACCCAAGGCCGAGTAGTGGAGCTAGCCCCGCCCCAAGCTGGGGAAGGGACCTCTCCCCTCCCCCTGGGGCCCAGCCCTGGCCCCTGCCGGACACTCCAGCAGCTCCGTGGTACGCGCGCCTGGACAGTCCTGCCCGTAGTGCTGGGAGCAGGGACTCCCCAACACCTTTCAGGTTTTGTGTTCACTTTTCTCTCAGACACACGGTGTCAGCCAAGCCTCCAAATGACAAAATAAAGCAGCTATTTTATACCAAGTGCCTTTCGCCAGCACACGGCTGTGCCTCACTACCCCCCACCTGGGAGACCCCCGAGCACCAGAAGCTCTTACACCTGCACTGAGCAGAAAAGTCCAAGGCTCGTCCGGGGCCCGTGACCATTCTGCACAACAGGGTGGACAGAAAGGGTGACACAGGGCCCGCCACGATGGGAGCCCACACTCGCTAGGGCCTACGTGAGCTGTGCCCTGCACCCTGGCCACCCAGGGAGGAGGGAGCCCTGTGCTGGGCTCTTCCCATCACTATCCCACCCCTGCGCATCTGTTCGGACTGTAGGGGCGTCAGGCTCTCGGGCCCAAGAGCAGGCTGGCACCCCGGGCAAGGCAATTCTGGGTTCTAGGGGCCTTCCTGGTGCAGAGCAACAGTGTCCGATCAAGAAATAAACACTTGGGATCTCAAGACAGACTTCTGGAAGTCCTATCTTGAACAAAGGGGGAAAAAAATGCCAAACTGCTTCCGAAATTTAGACAAGGAAACTGCTTAAAGAATTTTATTTGTGAGTAAAACACGTTACAGTGGAGGACAGAGGACCCATCCTCCCAAGCCTGTATCCATATATGCGACTAGACTTCATGTTGTAATACAAAGAGTTAAAATAAACTACAAAAGTGAAATAAAAGTCATTGCATGTGAGGGACAAAAGGAAGGGGTAAAGAGTCCGGGGTCAACTGAAGTACGGGCTGAGGGCTCAGCGCCTGGACGCCACCATGGCAACAAAGTGACACACAGGAGAAAAGCAAGTCGCCAGCAAGCTTGAAGCAGTGGTCAGCGCCATGCAGCCAGCCTCAGGTCCTGCCTTGGTGTCAGGAGCGTGGGTCCGCCCGGGGAGGAGGCCTGCCGGTGCCTGGTCAGGCTGGCACCGGGGCAGCTCCTGGAATGGGTCACCCACTAGTCCCGCTAAGCAGCTTCATGTGGTTTCCCAGGGGTCTGAGTTAAGTGAAGCTTCACGATGCTGAACAAGGAGAGCAAGTCACGGCTCATAAGTGGCTGGTGTAAGCAGTGAGGGAGGGACCACTGGGTCTTGTACCTTGCGCCTTTTACCAAAACCAGGGGGGTCTTCAAGGCAGAGTTAAAGGTAAGAGAAGACCCCTTCTCGGTCCAAAACGTCCCCTAGACGAGTGAGCAGAGAAAAAACTTACTAAAAAGTGGCCTGTTCACGGTAAAAAACGTAGGGTAAATTGCAAACCTGCTGAAAAAAAATTCTAGAAAGGACTCTTCCCCCGTCTTGACGTATCTTCCCCGTGACAGGAACCCAGAGACCCCAGTGAGTGAGAAATGGGGAGCCCCTGAACCTGTTTCTGGCCTCAGGGTAATCAGACCACACATAGCTTGTGCCGGGCAGACACAGGTCCCCTTTGCTGTTGGGGTTTCTGGCTCAGCCCAAACTCGCCTCTCAAAGGCTGTTGTTATGCCCTGGGCCATTGGCGGGCACGTGAGTGTTTTTACAGGACTGAGGCTTTGTGTCCACAGAGTGAGATCACTCACCCAGCAGGTAACGCCAGCAGGAAACTACAAGTCTGATTCAGTCACCCGAGACCTGGGGGTGAAGGGGAGCCTAGCACACAGCACGGGTCACCTCACAACAGGAGAGAGCGGTCAAGGCCAGAGCCGGCAGGGCCTCCGACCGTCTGGCCAGGACCAGGACTTCTCACCGCCAGGGGAGAGGGTGTCACCGAGGGGCAGACGGATGGGAGGGACGTGGATTCGTCTCCCCCAGAACCTGAGGCTGCGGGCCGGGGAGGAGGGGGGGGACCGCTGCGCACACACGTGAGGCGAGCACCGGTGGACGTGGGGGTCTGGTCAGGCCGGGAGGGGAGCTCTAGCTACATGGAGGGCTGGGCTTTTTGCATTCCACTACACAGGAAGACAGGACACGAGACGCGATCGGGGACGGTCTGGTGGCGTCAGCTGGTGCAGGACGGGGTCTTCAGGAGTCACTCCTCTTCTTGCTCTTCTTCAGAAAGGAGGGGGTGCGGAATTTCTTCTTCTTTTTGGAAGGGGACTTGCCCGGAGACCCGTCGCTGCCAGGGTCCTCGGCAGCTGGGGAGGCGGCCTCTTCAGCCGCCCGGGCGGAGGCTGGCTCGGGGCTGGCCACCAAGGGGGACCTGGTGGGGCTGGGGGGCTCGCGGGCCTCACAGAGCCCCTCCTCCTCTTCCTCCTCCTCCTCCTCCTCCTCCAATGTCGGGAAGCCGAGCGCTTCTGAAGGCTCATCAGGGGACAGGTCGGGGAGAGTCGGCTTGAAGGTGGCAGCGTCACTGTCCTCTCTGGAGGCGGGCTCCTGCGGCAGGTCTGGCGGGTGGGGTAGGAGAGCCGGGGCTGGAGAATGCCTGCCAGACCTCGGCGGGGCAGCCCCGAGGGGGGAGGGGGCGGCGCCCCGCGGGGAGCCCACCTGGACGCAGGGGCTTCTACCGACACCCGGCTGACACTTTAAGTGAGGTGTGCTCTACTTCAGGGCCAGGGGGAGCTCAGAGAACAAGACGTAGGCACAATCTCAGGGCTGTTTTCAGCTCCCCCTCGTGGACAGGGCGCTCACGGACAGGGCCTTGGTCCCCGGTCAGAGAGAGCGAGGTGGGCAAGTCGGGAGCATTTCAGCAGGACAGTGCTCTGCGTGAGCACTTGAACAGAAGTTTATTCTAGAACCCTAAGGGCACATTATCAGTAGTCCTGAAATTAAGCCTCAATTTCAGCCCACAACACCTGGTCTCCCCCAAGAAGAAAACCACAGAAAGTCATAGTTAACTCCAGACCTCCTATATCAGCATCAAACGAAATAAAGCCATTTTAGGCTGGAGAATCAAAGAAAAGAGATGAATTATGTATGAGGTAAGAGCTAGGGGCAAAACATCAGGCCATCTTCACAAGTTGAACGTGGAAACGTAAATAGGTACAGCATAACTGGTCTGAGGGTGTGCTTCTAGCGAAGGTCCCCATCACCAGATTTCTACACAGACTCCTCTGACGTTTCCAGAGGAGTGATCTGAGCACAGGAAGGTCTGAGGACTGTGTAAGCGGTGGGCAAAATGGACATCATAACGAAGGCGGGATCTAATCCCCGAACCAGTTTTTGTAGATACTTAAAAACAGCCTATAGAGTTACAAGCAACTTGCTGCTTAGGCAACAGCAAACCGTCTAGTACGGAGAAATGGAGCTGAAGTCAGGAGGGGCCCCGAGCTGAGTGTCGGTGAGCTGCGGCCGGCACAGGAGGCTCCGGGCCCCAAACACTTAGCGCTTTGGCTCTGGGAGGCTGGAGCTACCCTGTCCCTGCCCTTAGCCACCTTCTGTCCCAGGATAATGAAATGTCCTTACTTGGCTAGGGCAGGAGGAGGTCGGGATTCACTCTGCAAAGCATGCAAAGGTTGCCTGTGGGTGCCTCCGGGGACTTTCATCGTGTGGCCAATGTCACATTAAAAAACCAGTGCCAAATGTAGCTCTTCTGCCCCATCTGAACTTAAGCAAAGATCCAAACACATGCGACCCCTAAGCTGTCTGAACCTAGTCTAGACGTACTTCCGATCCAAACAGCGAAACCTCCCGCCCAGAGCAATCACAGGCTGATCCGGCCAACATGATCGCTGTGGAGCTTCCAAGGCCCAGGGCTCCCTGAGCAGGGCCCTCAGTCCAGGGGCCCCAGGGACAGGCTGCCACCACCCAGCTCTCTGGTGACCGAGTCCCTGCCAAGATGCCGCTGCCTGGGATGGAGGAACTGGGTGTGAGAAAGGGGGAGGGGGGCCCTCTATTTTTATTTTGAATAAACAGAAAACAAAACTGAGTAAGCAACAAAGAAGCAGGAGAATGAAGCAAAGCACAGGGGATGCCGGTTAAACAGCAGAGGGCCGGACGGGCGGTACTTACTATGGTAACAGGTACTCTTTAGCACATCCACCTCCTGCTTGTGACGCAGCCACAGGAAGAGAAAAGCACAGGGAGAGAATCTAGGCATTCAGTCACAGCCGCCGGGTTATAGAAGGATGGCTGAGCCATTCTTGTGGACAAGGAACGGGGGGAAGGTGAGCCACAGGCTCCCAACAGGCACGGGCAGCACGACACAGAAGACCGAGGGACAGACACGTGGGCCACACGCCACAGACACGCAGTGGGCAGTCCGAGAGGCCAATGGAGGCCTGCACTCGCACGGACCAATTACTACGGCAGGTCCAACGAGGTACCACGGCTCAGACATGATGGAAGACGTTTCCAGAGGAGTGATCTGAACACAGGAAGGTCTAAGGACTGTGTAAGCAGTGGGCAAAACGGACATCATAACGAAGGCGGGAGCCAACCCCCGAAACCTTTCCCGCCTGGTTCTGACATCTCACTAACAATCCGTTTGTCCTTGAGTTACCAAGGCCAGCGCCAGCAAGGAGGGCCGGTTCAGAACCATGTGGTGGGTGGCTTTCCACGCAAAAGTGCTTTTTCATCACTCAGTCCCTCTACTGCACACCCGGCTGCTCTCCCCCCACGGGACAAAAACACGAGGCCCACCCCTCCCGGCCATCGCCGGACCCCAGAAGGCCACGCGCCCTCCCACAGCGGGCAGCCAGAGCTCACCTTCCTCAAGCTTGACGGGGGTGCTGGGGGGGGTGTGGGGGGCAGCAGGGTGTTCTGGAGGACTCTTCTCCTTCTCTTCTCTGCTCTCGTCCAGAATCTCTGCAGGCAGACACACAGAGAAGCAGGTGGTAAAGAGCTTCAGACATCGTGAGCCTTCACCCTCCTCCAAAGCAGGCAGCCCCTGCCCTCCCTGCCCAGCCCATCTGGCTGCATCCAGGAGACTGGGAGGGCTCACGACCACACCGTCTTCACCTCTCCAGGACAAAGAAAGCCCACTATGACTGTGCATCTGAATTTCAGAAAGATCCAACAACTTTGGAAACAAAATTAATTCCTACTCTTAGGCCAGAGAGACTCCGCCAGAGCTGGCTCTGTGGCACACCGACTGGAGGCCCCCGGCCTGTCCTCATCTGTCCTCCAGGGAGGAGCCCCTCCCCACGTCCTCACTGTCCAGCCTCCCCACTGCTGAGCTAGCAGCCCAGGGTCCCAAGCACCCTCACCCTGCTCACCTCCTCAAGGGATGGAACATGAGAATTACCTGGGTTTTCATTTTCTATGTAGAACATTTTCTACCAATAATTTAAACCTGGCAGCTAATAAAGCGTATTTTTATTTTCTGAAATAAAATCACTGATAAGGACCAGAGGAAAAATTACAGGTACTAGGACCGAACGAAGATCTAGGAAATTTCAAGCCTACTTCTCATTTAGGGAAAAATACATACTAATATTATCTTAATTCCCTAAATCTCCTTATCTCACTTACACTTTTTATATTAATGCTTAGCATCACTAGGTCCCATATTTTGAACAGGCAGCTACAATCATTAGGGCCTCTGATCTCAAAGAGATGCCAACCCACCTTCCTGAAGCCCGATTTCTATAAACAAAGGCCTTCGCATCTCCTACAAGTTCCCTCAACCAGAAGAAGGTGCCAGAGCCCTGAGGCTTTCTTTCCTCCTGCCAGAAGTGCTGACCTATGGCACCCAACACCTGTCCCCCGCCCCCATGCCAAGGGCTAGCAGCAGTGCCGGGCAGGGGTCTCCTGGCAGTACGCCCCCACTGGCACTCCCACTGCTGACAGCTCTGTGGTCACAGAGCACGGACACAGCTGTCCTGTCCACTCAACTGCTGGAACGTCCCTTGTCATGGAGCCTCGTGTATGGGGAAAACTCCTGTATGTCTCGTGGTTTGACTCAAAAAAACATCTTGAGGGGTGCCTGGGTGGCTCAGTTGATTGAGCGTCCAACTTAGGCTCCCTCAGGTCATGATCTTGCGGTTTGTGAGTTCAAGCCCCACGTCAGGCTCTGTGCTGACAGCTCAGAGCCTGGAGCCTGCTTCGGATTCTGTGTCTCCCTCTATCTGTCCCTCCCCTGCTCATGCTCTGTCTCTCTCTGTCTCTGTCTCTCAATAATAAACGTAAAGGGAAAAAAAACAACATCTTGTAATCTGGGCCCCCCGACACTGGAGGGGCCCAGGGTCAGATGCATGTGTGTGCTCTGGAATCGGGGCCGGCCCACGCACCACCCCCAGGGCTCTAATCTGAGGCAGGGACTTATGGTGACAGCACAGAGAGCTCTCGGCAGGGCTGTGCGTACATGCAAGGGTGACGATCAGAGACACAGAGCTTGGTGTGACGGGAAGACTGGGCTCACTCTGATTCGATATGCACTAAGTCTTAATTTTAATGCACACCTAACAAAGTGACACAGACGGAAAACGACAGTTTTTTGCATGACCCAAATTCCAATAGCAGCTATGTGATGTATTATTTAGTCTAAAACAAGACCAGAAAAACCTAAATCGGGGCAAATCAGAGACTCAGGAGTAGTTCCCGGTCAATCCCCACAGACCCAGGGCCATGGAACACTGTGGGACTTCCATTCCTAAAGGCAGATTCCTAGGGGCTGAGCCAAGGAGGAAGTGTGGTCCCTACAAAGACCAGGATTAGAACTTAAGGCCCTGAGGACGGCAACATGAACCTCCTGGGCGGGGAGGGTGGGGGGACATCTGTGCCCAGGGTCTGCTGGTCTCAACCAAGGCTGCCTGGGGAAAGTGATGCAGACCCACTGGAGCCTTCCTGGTAGAGGCAGGGGGAGGCTCACCTCTGGCATTCTCAAAATTCTTGGATCTACTTTTCAAAACCTAAAGTTGAAAACAACCTGCTCCATGAGGTTCTGGTTCTTAGAACCATTTATTTTCATTTGCTGCAAATAGTCCCATTGTATTTTACAAAAACATAAAATATGACCTCCTGCGTCAGCGAGTTACCAAGAGAAACAAAGGGCCACGCCAGCAAAGGGCCACACTCCCCACTGGGTCTGGGACCCAGAGCAGGCCGCACGCTGGGTCGTGGGCCTGCCAGCACACCTGTGCAGGAAGACCCTCCAGGTTCGTGCAGGAGGGAAGTTCAGCTCTCCGACGTGGTCTCTTGCACAGGCACCGTGCACACTCACAAGTGTGTCTCATGGTCTAATTCCTTCGGGACTAGGAAACGTGCGCTCAGTGACGTTCTGAACTAACCAGACCCAAGGCTGCTCTTTCATGTGAGTCACTGACCTTATTGCCCACCGTTAACACCTGGCACAGAGGAGCGGGCACAGCGCTTTCTCTTGCTTCGGGGACAGCCCATGTGGCCTGCACCAGCATGCCCAGGACTCGCCCAGGACTCGCGCACACGCATGCTCACCTCCAGGGCCCTTCTGCTTCCGCTGCACCTCCCTACGGTACTCTTCCAGCTCCTGGTCGGTGAGCGTGCTGAAGGGGTTGGGGCCCGCGGTGCTCACAATGACGTGGGGCTGGTACTCCTTCTCAATGATGGCCTTGGAAGCCGTCACCAGCTCCCCCTGCAGACAAAGAGGGACGCCCCGTCGGTGGGAGTCCTGCCAGAGGGGACTCTCCCCCATCCCGGGCAAGGCTGCAGGCGGGGCGGGGCGCGGCGGGCGGGTTTCCAAGAGTGCACGCGCACACACCCACACCCACACCCACGCACACGCACACGCACACGCACACACACGCATCCCTGAGACGGGGCCTAGGAATCGCCCTGGGCCCTGAGGCAGAGGCTGGACTGCGGCCTCCAGTGGTAGGAGACAGAGAAACACAATTTAAATGCCACAAAACAAATGTACCAGGAGGAAAAAAAAATCACAGGAGAGTCCTTCAGGTTTCAGAAGCAAAAGCAATGAGGTGCAGACGGACAGCACAGAGCGGGCAGCTCCAGGAGAATGCCGTCTCCACAGTGACAGGCAGGACGGAAGAGTGGACTTTTGAAGTCAACTGCCCCCCCTCACGACAGCAGAAAATGTCAAGGGTTCCGATGGTCAGGGAAGGTGTGCTCGGAGACTGACTTTACTAAGTTCACAGGTTAAGTTCTGTCCTTTTGACTATGTATTTAGCTTACAACCAGCTCCCGAAAACGGATCCCAAGAAATTGTTTTAAAGTCCCAAAATACCAGTATTTGTCTGAGGAATCTGGAGAACTAGGAACATGTAGAAAAGAGAAGAAAATAGAAAGAAAGCAGCTCACGGGTCACACCCAGTCTGCAGGGAAGAGACAGACCCAGGGCAGGGCAGGGGGTAGGGGGAAGGCAAGCCTCAGAGGGAGAGAGCCAAGAGGGCAGCCCTGGGCGTGTGACGTCCAGCCCACCCTCGCCTGCCCCAGCACAGCTCCGCACTCCACTGCTCAGCCTGGCTGGCCCCCAGATGCCCTGGGTTCATTCACCAAGAAAGTCAGCCAGAGCTCACACACGTGCGCATTACTTATCGGGAGCTTCCAAAAACCACCTAGGAAAGGAGAAGCCAAAATTCTGATGCCAGGCTGGTTTGCCAACACTCTCCTCAGTGAGAGGCAAACACCAGACACAGGCCGTGCCGACCAATGTGCACGAGGGACAGAGCCGGACTGGGGACACCTGGGCCACCTGCTACCCTGGCAAAGCCTGGAAAACCCGGATGGAGGGGTGACTGTCCAGCAGGCTGGGTGCAGAGCATCCAGAGCACCCCAGGATTGTTCTGGGACGCAGACCCAAGGAAGAGAAGGGAAGGACCTGCTGCAATTGGCCACGTCTGCTTAGAGAGCCTGAAGAGTCAAGACAACCTGGATGGTCAAGGGGAGCCCACTTTCTAACCAAGGCTGACCCAAAGTCAACCGGCTTTTCACTCAGAAGCTGCCCTGTCTCAAGACGGGGAACCGAATCCCTCTTCTCGGTAAAGCCTGTTCCTGTGCATCGGCTTCAGGTGTGCCATCCTCGGGAGGAGCTGCTGGGCTGACAGCAGGAAGTGCTGGGTGGGGTGTCCTGCAAGCTGGGGCACTTGACCTGCTGCACGTGCACCCCGCTAGCACTGCCAACAAAGCGACCAGGCGATACGAGGTTTGAGAGAAATGTTCAAATCCATTTAACTCAACGGTTCAGAACAAGCAATGAATAAAATATCAAGCATCAACTGCCACAGAGGCACCTGCGGCAAGCGAGGCCCTTCCCGCACGGAGACCCCGGACCCTCAAGGCACCTTGGTTCCCACCTCTGCTGGCAGGGAGCCTCCTTCCTCCAAATTCCTCAGCCAGGCGCCAAGCGGCTGCCAAGCCCCCAAGACCTGGGCTCTGACCGGAATGGAGGACAGAGGAACTGCGTTATCTGGGGGGACGGAAACAAGGCTTGGGGTTCAGAGGGAAAACGGGTCCCCTGCGGGGCAGCAGCCTGGGCTGAGAAGCCAGGATGTGAAGTGGCTGCTCTTCACGCAGAGGCTCTCGCTGCTCCCCTCACTTCCAGCCACAGAACGCGGCTCTAAGCAAAACCGATGCTGCCCAGTAACGGCTTCTGCGCTTGGCTGAGGCGCCTGGTGTGGACTACAAACGTGGCTCGTGACCCGACCTCTCCAAGCATCAGGCTTTTCAGCCATAAAACCCACTCGGATTTGAACTTACATTCTTAGTGCCGGGCCACGCGCTTCTGGGTGCTCAACACCAAGTTCACCAGGTAAGACTGCAAGGTGGGCCCAGGCACCTCCCATTTCCCCCACACAGCACCAAGTGAGAGGGACTCTGCCCAAGGACACACAGGTGCACAGAGCACAAATCCAGCAGCACGGTCCCGGCCTGCCCCCGAAAGCTGTCGGCATGAACTTGTTCGCGCTAACGTCTAACAGCTCAGTTCACTTGCAATGACCTCCAAAAGGCGGCCAGTTACCACAGCTTCCGTGTTGGCGCGTGCAACGTGGAGTTAAGAGAGACTTCGGCTGGGCTCAGTATTCCTTCTGGAACCAGAGCATCAGGGCGCGGCTGACAAGTTGCCGCTCCTCCTTCAGGCAGAGGACGACAGGGCCTGAGTGAACGGCCATCACCAGGGAGGGAGGGGTGGAAGCAAAGGGAAGGACTTCCCCAGAGCCCCTACTTCCTAAGCCCCAGACACATGTTCCTCAGATTCTCAAATGGAAAGCAGGTATCTACAGATTTGCCTCATTGGGAAGAGGACGTTACTAGGACACGTAACCAAGTTCTTTTTCCACTTTGTCAAAGAAAAACTCAACTTGCCACCTTGAGAGCAGGGCCACCTTGTAGAGGGAGCAATGCAGTCTACGTTTTGAGATTCGCATGAAAGATGTGGGAACAGCTTCAGTCAAGGTCATGGATGGAGTCGTATTCTCAACGTAAAAATGAGAAAAAGACCAAGGGTGCAAATGTGAGCAGCAGGAGGGTGTTGGAGAAAATGCAAGCTGGAACAAGAATCCAGGCACGGGAGCACCCTCTAGGCTGGGCTGGGTGCGGTTTCCCCTGCTGACCCCACCTGGATGCAGCACTCCCAGAGTGCGCTGCCCAGACTAGGGGGTGAGGCACCAGAATGGCCAGGAATCCCATTCCCAGCGACTCTGACTTCCTGGCAGGCGGGGGTGGGGGGGGCCACATCTACACGTGATGAAGCACTCACAGGTGATGGTGACACACACCCGAGTCTGACATGCCGGAGCAAAAACAAAAATTGGGGCTGGATGAGGAACTGGCCGAAAAAGCCCACTTGAAATACAGCCAACCAGCCCACCTTCCGGAGAGCCCGAACAAGGTCAAGCAGAAGCCACCACGTGTGACCCAGTGCCAGAGAGACTGCAGAGCAATGACGGTGTCAATCAGCTCTGCCCAAGGGCTACAGGGTGGCAGCCACAGTGGAGACCCCGCATGGTAAGCACCCCGGGCTCACGGACTCAGAACAGCTTCACGCATCAGAGAAAAGAAAATTATGAGCTAGCAAGACCACAACGGCTTAAAGCCCAAAGTACTGAGACATGCAGAAAAAGGCCATCTTTCTCCCCTGCTCCGAGAAGTCCCTCCAAGAACGGCAGCTCAAAGTACATTCAAAGGATAAGGAGAAACGGACCTACTGAATTACTCCCTAAGTATGCAAAACCTCGTCATTGGTGAGGGTTGCACGCAGGATACAGAACCCCTGGTACGAATCTCTGGCAACTGGGACATCACTACAAAGAGATGGCATCTCACTGGAGGCGTAGGAATTGAAGAGACACACCCTAAAAATCTCCTCTGAACACAGGGTAAACGTCACTACGACTCAACACCGAGCAGGCAGCCGCTTTCTGCTGTCAGCGCCGAGCTGTGCACACCAGCACACCTGCAGGGCCCTCACGGGGCTCCTTCCAACGGGGCAGGTTACATCACACAGACTTCCCACCTGCCATCCACATCAACGTGTGCGTGTACACACTTACTACTCCTGGCTTCAAATTTCCATGTCTCTTTTCCCCTGTGAAACACTTTTTAAAGAATTATCTAGGATTTTTTTTTTTTTAGGAGAAAAACTAAATATATCTCATCAACAATAGAAACTGTCCAGTTTTACTTTCCGTTCCTCTGAAATGCTGTCTTTCAATTCTACAACCTCCAATGGCCACATTCACTACGCGTGCAGTCACAGCAGAGCAAGCAAAGGTGGAAGGCTGCACAGGGAGCCACCGCTGCCCACAGGCGGCCCGTATGAGCCTTCTGCCATCGACATCTCATAAAAGGCAAACGAAACCCAAAAGCATGCACTAACCAGAGTCACGTGCAGACCCTCAGAAATGCGCCACGCATCGTGAAGAGGGGCCCTTTCTCCCCAACCTCGTGGATGCCTCGTGGATGCCGAGGATTATAAAAATAACCTCGTACCAGACACTCTAATTAAAGAACAGAACAGGCAGAACGGAACCTCGGTCCATCGCAGAGGCAGGGGTAACTGAGACGGTGCCCGGCAAGAGCAGACAGGTGGGGACGGGGCAGGTGGAAGGGCAGCGCGTGCCGAGAGGCGGTCAAGGACAGGGCGGTGAGTACCTTTCTACAAGACAGAGATCTAGCAGGACTAAAGGTCTGCTCTGTAAGCTCGAGCCCTTCGATTGTTTCCGTACAGTCAGAGAGGGGTGCGTCCTGCAACAGTAAACTGAGTCATCAGAGCCCGCCAGGCCCGGCTTCGAAACAGCAACTGAGAGCACAGGATGGAGCTGGCTGAGAGCATGCAGCAGAGACGGCCGTCCACGGCGGTGCAGCAGTGATGGCGGTGCACGTGCAGACACAGACCACAAGACCAGACCACGGCTGCCCCAACTCAGAGCACAAACACCTACCCTGCAGGGTCGCGTTTAAAGCAGCAGGTGGCAACTTAATTTTCAGAGATAACTACTTACACGATTATCTTCAATGTGCCACGAAGTACAGTGCTCTTACAGAAAGGCATGTAAATGCAGACATTTACAGGTGCCCTCTGTAACCACTTTTCCCCAAGCAGCACTTTATTGCAGAGAGCAATACACACGAGAACAGAAACGTCCGTTAAACCCACCCTCTTCTAGCATTTTCCACCGTACACTGCCAAACCAGGGCAAATCCAGGCCCCAAAGCAGGTGGCGTGAGTGCCACCCTCACACAGGCATGCATTACACGGAGCAGGGCTTGGGAGGACACGGCCCATGGGCATGCTTGTGCTACGTCTACAACTTTAGGAAAAGTGGGGGGCTGTTTCTCATCATGAGGATTTTTCACAGAGGTAGGTCTTGCCTAGAACACTTACCTCATAGCATCATTCTCTGCCAACTCAAGAATAATTTTGGAGTGGCCGGTCATTAGAGCCACCACCCACTACTATCAGACGCTCTGGGCTCTCACCTGGACAAGGCTCCTGTCCATCACTACACCACACAAAACCTGGGACTGGGGGCCAGCCGTCTTAATGTCCTGCAAGTTCTGCTCTCGGATCTGAGGACACAAGAAGGAGAAACACACATCAACAGAACGGAGAAGACTCGCCACGACTTGAGTCACCCTGCATGTGCACTGGGGCCCCAGAGCCACGCGCAAGCCGCACCCCTGCCCTGCCCCTCAGGGCCCCACATGGCCACAGTGCCTGTCTGGTGGTGCTAGTCCGGCCTGTTTAGAGGTTCACAAGTCCAAGGGGATGGACTCTCTGCACCTTCTGGATGGCTCTGGCAAGCACCGATCTCTAACCGTACTCACTCCTCGAGGAGAAACATTCCCTACGAGCCCCTCTCACGGTGGTGCTGTGAACACTGGTGGATCTCATGTTCCATCTGACACGTCAAACATTCAAAGCTCAGCGAATGAACGCTGAAACGCGGGGGCAAAGGCTGCTCTTGCCAGAAACAGGCTGTCGCTTCCGATTCTGCCCACTATGGGAGCAAGCATCTGTTCAGGAACCGGGGCCCCAGGCTGTCTGCTGCTCACACACCACGCTTGTTAGCACAGGCGCACAAGCAGTGGAAGGAGAGGGCCTCGGCTGCAACGGTGGGAGCCCTCCGCGAGGGGCGAGCACGTGCCACCTCCGTCCTACCCGCCACCACCTCCACCTGCACACAAGTTCCTGCCACGGGCTGACGTCAGCCACGACGTACCTTGTTCCTCATCTCCTGGACCTCTTTGGGGTTAGTGTTCAATGGAACAAACAAGTTAGGGACAGCGGAGGTGGAGGTTCTGTGTCCATCCTCTTTAGTCCACTGTAAACATCAAGAACAGTTGAAAAGTCAGAACTGGGACAACGGTTACGTGATGCCACAGCATCCAATCTGTCCCACGTGTCTCACACCTGGTCATGCATGAACATCACAGAGAATGAACCAATGACCACACCTCCTGTCACTGCAGCGGTGGGATCGGGGCAGGGCGTGTGCAAACAGAAACCAGTAACGGTGGAAGCCAGAGTCGTGACTGACCGGCACACGCCATCCAGAAGGCCCGGCAGAGGCTGACGACAGAGCTACGCTCTGTAACTCCCGCGGACTAGCCATGGGGGGACCCCTCAGAGCACATTGGTTCACCGCCCTGAGAGTCATCAATGCCAAAGCCGCTGGAAGCATGAGATGGCAGGGTCATGAAAAGCGATGTGATGTTGCCACCCAGGTAAAGGGAAAGACCGGACTGGGAGGCAAGAGTGGGCATCACCAAAGTTTTGCATGAAAATAAAGTACAGCTTTAGAACGTGCTGCTGGCATAGCTTTTCAACCCAAGAAAATTGCTGCATGAACGTATATACAGTAGCTGCCTGGTGGGAGGGTTTGGTGATGTCGAATATTTTATATAACTTAATACTTCAGAGTGTTACAAAAATATCCCAAACAAACTTGAAGCGCTTCATGAGTTTTTATCAGAAGGCTGTTTTAGATATCAGTGCGTAGCATCAGCACACCGCGCCTTTCACATTTTGTCTTTATTTTTGGATCTCCAATCACACACGAGATTTTCAATCAAATTCTAATTCTGAGGCATGGGTGGGCACTGAACATTAAAACAAGGCCAGCAATGTTACGCCTTTGAGAGTATTTTCAGGAGGCAGTAAGATGGCCATAAACCGTAAGACTTCAAAGAAAGCAACAGACTGGCAAATGCTTATTAGCTGCTGCGGAGGGAAGTGCAGGATGGGCACGAGCTGTGAGGTACTCACTGACAGTTATCTTCTCAGATAAAAATAACTCCAGCTTTTTATTAAAAGTAAGTTTTAGTCAAAACATTAAAGCAATAACCTTGGAAGCGTGAACACGTTTGCAACTTGAGAACAGTTACTGTAAGTTAACATACCAACCTGGGAACACTGCATGGCATGCCCAATACTCCGGAGCAGTAGGAAACAAATTTAAGTGCTGAACAAGGTCTCCCCTTCAATGTGCACACTGACTAAAACACGCAAAGTGATTTCATATTGTTTCAAGACAATAGCAAATAAAGCTCAAAGCTGAGGCTACACATGTGCTTAGAAAAACTTCGTCACGGCAACTCAGCACTATGTACGTATATCCTCAGCAGGAAGGTGGTTTTTAGGCCCACGCCCTTTAACAAGTAAAATAAATAAAAACAAAACAGCTGAAACTAGGGAGAAGAAAAGAGGGAGAGGAGGAGGAGGCGGAAGGAGAGAGGAGAGACGGGCTCCACGTGACGAGTCTGCTCAGGAGCACAGAGGCTCGCGCACCAGAACCACCTGGGGAAGACAGAACTGTCTTCTTTGGAATAAATCTATAAAGTAAGAACACTGTTATTACGGGAACAGGAGGCCCCGCATGCTTGCTCGGAGCACACCGTGTTAGGCCATCCAACCTCACGGGTCACCTGCGTGCCTGCCCCGGCCGCTCCAGGGGCCCCCTCTGTGTGGCACAGGAGCCGCTGAACTGTCAGAGGCTGGGTTACGGGGCAGTGAAGACCGGCCTTCACAGGACGTGAGCACCAAGACAGCAAAGTGTCTTTGAGGGCCGTGTCTGTGATTACGGAAACAAAGCGCGCCTCGCAGGGTCTGTCGCTGGTGCCTGCAGATGGCCTGCGCCGCACTTGGGTCATGCCACACCCAGCAGGAGCCACAGGACTCACCACTACGGCCGTCTACTCACATGCAACAGTCCATGCAGAAGGTAGCTGGCTTAGAGCATTCGGAGGCTTTGGGACAGCAAGCGGGGAACGAGGCCAACAAGAAAGGACGAGGTCAGCTGGGAAAATGCCCGTGAGACACCAGGGAAAACTGCTTAAGAAAACACTGAAGGCTTTAAAGAACAGACTGCAGTCTGGCGATAACAACACTGAAATAACAGGTTATGACTGAACTACCGTTCCGTGCATGAAGCATTAGGATTCCTTGAACATAATTTGAATTAAATGTCAGCTCCAACTTTTAGATTAATATGTGTAAGTTACTTAGTATTTTCGCTACGCACAGAGTTAGGTGATGTGGGGGTTACTGAAGAAGTGCTGCGTATCTTAAGCAGTTTCAAGCAGACAGTATTACTTGAATTATAGCTAATGCATATGGCAGGTCTGGTTTGGGCTAAAGAAGGTTAAGGAGGAAGGTTTGCTCGAAATCCAGGTCAGAAAGACTAGATTCCCAAAGCCTCCGAAGCCCCAGCTACCCAACTTGCTCTACATCATCTAACTATGAACAGTAAGGTAGGCACAGACCAAGCAGTTGGTAATACAGCTTGGCACGCAGACACCGGACGAGAGAGACTGCAGCAAGGGTTTCACGTGATCGTGTGTAATGTTCGTCCACACCTTAGTCTTCGACTTGGGACTGCTTCCGTTCTGCCCTTCCTCAGAAGCATCGTCACCCCGGCCAGAGTTCAGCCATCTTGTCTTCTCTCGCTGCTGCTTCTGAAAACTGTGTCTGAGAGGGGAGCCAGTGCCCGGATCCCCGTCACTAGCAAAGGAGTACCCTGTGACACTCGCAGGAACCTCCACATCGCTGTACTTTTTAGATTTCTCTCTCAGAGCAGGGTATCGGTAAGGGTAGCCAGTTCTGTAACCCTAGGGTCCAAAGAGAATGAAAGACTGTCAATATGCCAGATCTCACAACAGTTTCACTTTGGGGAATTGCGTGGAAATACCTACAAAAGCTGGACAGGCACACACGCGACAACTCCGCACTCCCAGATACGTGCCGACAGAGACGCACAAACATTCACCAAAATCCTGACCGCAGATTAGACAAAGCCAGCAACACCAGAATGGGCAAACTGCAGCATCCACGCAACGGACTAGGGGGCCGGATTCAGAGCAAATGCTCCATCACCAGGTGCAACATTAGGATGAACCTCACAAATGTGATGCTGAGTCAAAGAAACCAAATGCTTCGAAAGAACACTATTCCACTCATCACTTATAAAAATTACAGAAAGAAACACCTGAAAGGGTACAGGGGATTCTGAGGTGCTGTTCTGTCATCACTGCTGCTGTTGTTTTCAATAGGCTCCACGCCCAACGGGGGGCTTGAACTCATAACCCTGAGATCAAGAGTCACATGCTCTACCGACTGAGCCAGCCAGGCCCCGCCCCGTGCTACTGTTTTTTGATCTGGATACTGGTTCTACAGTGTGTTCAGTTTTTAAAAAATTTTTAATGTTTACTTATTTTGAGAAAGAGAACAAGTGCATGTGTGTAAATGGGGGAAGGGCAGAGGGAGAGAGAATCCCAAGCAGGCTCCGCACGGTCAGCGCAGAGCCCAATATGGGGCTTGAACTCAGGAACCATGAGATCTGACCTGAGACAAAATCAAGAGTCAGACACTTAACCAACTGAGGCACTGAGGTGCCCCCAGTTTTTAAAAGTTACTAAACTGAATACTAATAAACTGAATACTTAAATGGGCTTACTTGCTGCTGTCTACAGTAAAGATCGTATTAAACAACGTACTTAATTTTTTTTCTTTTTCTTTTCTTTTTTTTTTTACCTTTTAAGATAAAGTTTAGATAAGATACCGTAATAATCTTTGGGGAAGGCCAAACAAGTACACCTCGTGAAACCTGGTTCTTTCTTTGAATGTAACAATCTTTGAGATCAACCTTCAATTCTGCCTCATGACCACTTACTAGGCTTTAAGGCCTGAGCCCCAGTAGTTCCCACCTCTGTCATCACTGCAATAGCATTTAGCCCACATGCTGGACCAACCTGTTTGCCAATCCCCACAGACAATCTCTCCAAGGCAAGGAGGATGTGTTCCCCATCCCTCCAACCCAGTGCATAGCAGCTGGTGGGTGTGGCAGACAGACTCTATGGTGCCCCCCCCGCCCCCCCCCATGGTCCCCACCTGCTGTAACGCCCTCCCTCCTGGAGCGTGGGCAGGACCTGACTTGCTTCTAACCCATGGAATTTGGCAAAGGTGATGCAGGATGTACTACATAGGAGGCTGGCACCCATCTTGAGTCTTTTGTCCATTGCTAGCTCTAAAGAAGCGAGCCGCCATGACTCCTACAGCGGTAAGAAAAATGAATTCTATCCACAGAATTCTGTCTGGAACTCAGAAGTGGGTTCTGCCCCACTGAGCCTTCTGATGGGAACCAATCCCGGCCACCACCTTGTGAGACCCTAGGCCAAGGACCTGGCTCAGTTTGCTCCTGACTCGCCGTTTCACGTCTGTACCGAGTCACTCACAGCACCTTCACTATAAAGGACAGGAGAATAAGGGCTGTCACATTAGAGGGGCCCCGGCCTGTGTCCTGCTTGCTGAGGTGCTTTAGAATCATTCACATTTCTCCCAATTCAGGAATTCTCTCCCTTCTGGATGCTTCTCTTCTTTGGGAGACCACTGGCATACCAACATCCCTTCACTACATTAAAAAAAGGGTGGTGACAATTCTGAAACGCAGTCCTCAGCGGTTGGTTTCCCACCACAATCCTCAAGAAGATCGGTAAATGTCTACCCTGCAATTTTTCCATTGATGAGCATGCTTTGTTGAGGAACAATAAAAGATAATGGCTCCACTGTAAAAAGGCTATCTTCAGAAAAATAAAGTTCTTGTTAACTCAAGTTTCCTCTCGCTGAGGGAGCCAAGACTCCTGAGTAGTCTCCATGATGGAAGGATAAACCACCAGAACTTTGCAAAATTTTATCCTCAGAGGGTATGGTTTTATTCTTTAATCTTCCCCTTTAAATGCTGTCAAGCCAAAACTAGGCAATACTAGGACCTCACACCTACTGTATGGCTTATAGATACACTTATGGATTCCTTCCTTCTTTGAAAAGCTAGAATTAGATCTTCATGTTTGGGAAGCAATCAGCATTTCTTCCATGTACGTTAAAATAGTTCTTACAGTATGAGAATCTTCAACTATTGTCTACCCTACTCAATTACTGGCAAACATACATGGTTAGTCAGAATGCTAAGTTAAGGGGCACCTGGATGGCTCAGTCAGTTAAGCATTCGACTCTTGGTTTCGGCTCAGGTCACAATCTCATGGTTTTGTGGGTTTGAGCCCCACACTGGGCTCTGTGCTAACAGCACGGAGCCTGATTGGTATTTCCCTCTCTCTCTCTCTCTCTCGTTCTCTGCCCCTTCCCTGCTCATGCTCTCTCTCAAAAATAAATAAATAAACATTAAAAAAAAAAGAATGCTAGGTTAAAACATGGACCGTAATGATAATCATTATTTCTTACAAACTACACAGCCTTCTAATATCAAAATGACAATAACAACCTGTGCACATCAGGGACACTGAATACCAACACCCCTGCAATGAGCACTTCACTTATTCATCTTTTGTCCTCTCTCTCCCTCCTCCATCACATTAAGAGTTATTGCCTGATTTTGATTTCTCTCTCTCCACCTTCTAGAATGCGCCGAGGACACAAGACGTGGTGGGCTGGTATTCTCGATTCTTGGTCCTCTCTTCTGATTGCTACCTGACTTCCAAGTAAAGAGCAGTGAAACCAGAGCAACGGTCAGGAGGAAAGAAGAGAGGTTGTAAGACAGGGTGCCCCAGCGCTCCTTGCCTCGTGGGGCCCCTTGGGGGTATCTGCCTCCCAGTACTGACACCTGGGACACCACTGGCCCCTGCCACCTAACTCCAGCTGCTTCTTCCATGTTCTTAGTGCGCCTCACTCCTCCCCCTGCTTCCCGAGACCAGTCCTGGCCCATGCCCTGTGTCTCTGCCTCCACAGCTCTCCTTGTGCTCTGTCAGGACCCAGATCACAGATGCACGGCCACATGTGGGATCTGTTTGTCCACCTCCCTGGGTAGGTCATGAACTCCTTGTGTCCTGTTAATGGCTCCTGGCACAATAGTAGATGGTCAGTAAATGCAATCCCCCTGTACAGGGCAAATGAATTCAGAAGTTATAGAAGATTCTGCTTTCTGTGTTCACTCCCCCGACTAATCAAATCCAGCCCCTGAGGACACTTAGCACCCCTGAATCAGATCCATGAATTCTTTGTGTTCCAACATCTTCAAGAAAGTTAAGCTTCCCGCCTTCCGAAGCCACCCCTCCCCTGTGTGACCTGGTCCAATAGTCGGGACTCTCTCCTGCTAGGCTAAAATGCACCCCGCTGGCCCTGGAGATGCTATCTAGGGTGCCCAGCATGGCCACAGCAACACATGGGGACTCCAGCCCTTCCGGAGGCTTCTCAATCCCACACTCCTGGGACAGGTCCTTGTGTCTATACCACCTGAGGTCATGCGGAAAGATGATGGACTCTCCCGAATTCCATCTAAACAGCGTGACACCACAGCAGGCACAGAGCCCAACGTCTCTGTGAGACAGAGTCCTACGTCTTATAACACCTTGACCTAAATATTTAAAGAACCTGCTCACACCAGACAAGTGCCTGGAAGGCATGTCCCCACCCCCTACACCTACTGTAGTGTCTTCAGTCACGCACACACCTTCCTTCTCCCAACTCGGCCTACCACAATTTTACCTACTCTCCAAGATCACTTCCAAGTGCCATCCACATCAAGTTTTCTCCCTGATGCTTGCAAATGGATGAGATCCCTCACTGAACCCTCTAACACAGACCACATCCTGCTGGTAACATCAGAACATCCTTATTATGCTTAATACACCGCGTCCAGCTTCTGTGTTGTGCTAGGCTCCGTGTCCCTGCAATTTGGAGGAAGGGGTCTCCCCAACACAGTAAATCAGCAGCAAATGTCTGTGAAACATAATAATCAGGCCCCACGTAGCTAGAACTTACGTTAAAACAAAAGACAAAGCACATGGCTAGCAGATGTAGAAGGCACCCCCAGATGGCTTGCTTGTGGGAGGATGGGCACCGAGCTGGCTGCTACTCTAGGAGCAAGTTACCCAGCAGCCTACTTCCTTTATTTTTAAGTTATTTTCATTTTTATTTTTGAGAGAGAGAAAGAACATGAGTGGGGGAGGGACTGAGAGAGAGAGAGAGAGAGAGAGAGAGAGAGAGAATCCTAAGTGGGCTCTACACTGTCAGCAGAGAGCCCAACTCAGCGCTCAAACTCACGAACCGGGAGATCATGACCTGAGCTGACATCAAGAGTCGGACACTCAACCGACTGAACCACCAGGCACCCCAACCCAGGAGCCTACTTCAGAGCAGGGCATTCTCTGTGCTCTTGTCCCCACATAGTCCAAGTGTGATTACCTTTAAACAACAAAAGAAGACAAGAAACCCTCACTTCTGTATTTTGCCATGATTTAGCTTAGAAGTTATATTGCCTGGTGCTTCTTCATGATTTTTGAGGGTGAAGGCACTCAGATACTGCATGAAGACAGTTTCACGCCATTTCACTTGCTATAAAAACACGAACGCTTCTGCTTTCAGAACAAAAGCTTTACCGTCAGGTGGTAGCAACATTCTTACCAGATTATCGAGCATCCGCATCAGAGCTTCGAACTCCTGCTCACCAATCTGCCACTTGGGAGGTGAGCTGGTACCCTCCCCTGCCGGGGACCCTGGGGAACGGGGCTTGGCTTTGTACTTGCCAGGATCCAGGAGGACTAAGTTGTCTGGCCCTCCTGCACTGGCCAGAGTCCGAACCTTTTCCAAAACAAGCAAACAGTAGTTTGAGTTCGTTACTGAGGGCAGAAGGATCAGATGACTACAAGAGATGACTGAAACAGAAATGTACGTTTCAAAAGAAACCAAGTCATCAGAGTGTAAGAATAAAACATGGAGGATGGACAGCAACAGACTATTCACACACAAGGTTATTTTCAGAAGCTCGTCTTTAGCATGACAAAGATACTGAGCACTCATGCTTGGAGGAGAAATGGGGAAGCAGAGCACCTTTGAAGACCGTATGAGGAGCCTGGGGACTGCAGTACTGCATTGAATGTAAGTCAAGGTAACATGCAGAGTGCAGACTTGGGGTTGAGCAGACCTGGCTCAGCGGCGCTCACAGACACGGGCCAGGGGCAAGGCTCTGCCTCCCTGCACGTGCTTTTTCACAAACAGTGCTGTGAGGGGCAAGTGAAAGAACATGTAATAACATCTAGGAAGCGCCCGATGCCGGGTGCTCCGTAATGGTGGCGACTGACGTATTTAAGCAATAGAAAACTAGAAATGAAAGCCCAGTAATCATTTGTAAGTTTCAGCCAGTGAAATGGCATTTGCTCTGGTCGATTTCCAAATCCATGAGCTCATCTTTGGCAAAGAGATTACACAAAGACTCATTCCTACAAAACAAGTACCAAAACTCTATGAAAACGCTGCAAACACCCAGATAAGCTGCAGACCGAACAGAGTGGCCACCACCCACCTGGATCTCACACGCGACCACAAGGTTGTGGATGTAGTAGAAAGCCTCCTCAACGCTCTCTCCGACGGATACGAGCCCGTGGTTCCGCAGAATAAGAACCTGAGCAAGAAACATGAAAGCCCTAAGGAACAAGGCAAGAAGACTGACACTTTAACTTTTTCTTCTTCCCTCTATAATTTAAAGACCACAGGGGTGCCTGGGTGGCGCAGTCGGTTAAGCGTCCGACTTCAGCCAGGTCACGATCTCGCGGTCCGTGAGTTCGAGCCCCGCGTCAGGCTCTGGGCTGATGGCTCAGAGCCTGGAGCCTGTTTCCGATTCTGTGTCTCCCTCTCTCTCTGCCCCTCCCCCGTTCATGCTCTGTCTCTCTCTGTCCCAAATAAATAAATAAATAAATAAATAAATAAACAAACATTGAAAAAAAAATTTTTTTTTAAATTAAATAAAAAAATAAAGACCACATTAGATGCCCACTGACCTTGCTTTTAGGCCCCAGATTTTTCTGAATTAATACTTTTTCCTCCTCATCAACCAGAATCCCATGATAATCATGATAAGCTACTTCTCCAAGGGAAAGTGCCTCCGGGGAGATCGGCAAGAGGCCACATTTCATCGCAGAGACCTAGAGAACACGCAGTCACCATGAATGAAGGGAAATCAAGGGTCACACGTTGATGACATGGCACATGCTTTCCTCAAAGAAATAAACAGGGGGACAGATTTTATTTTGTTACCTTCTGAGAAATAAATGAACCTATGAACTTAGGATGAACTTTAACTTCTGGGGCTTGCTAGTGATGTGCACTTAAAACTCCTAATGCCAAGCGAGCTCAGGTTTCAGGGTAAGATGACCCTGGCCCTAACGCAAGGACCAACCATCGCTTCCCCTGAATGAATCCGGACACTGCAAAGAGATGTTCTGATACACTTTTCATCTCAGGTCATAGGTGAACCAAAACCAGAAATTTACATAAAAGCAAATTTCTGAAGTTTAGGATAATTATGCTGTAAAATTTCTATTTAAGTAGAAAAAACCTTAAGCATTCATATAGCCCTTCAGTTTCCTTAAATTTCCCAAACTGACTTCAGAATGTGCTAATTTTGAAGGTTTTCTACCAAGATGAAAGAACAGTTTCCAAAGATTCAAATAGTGTTTAGAGGTGGGCGCAACAATGCCACATACAAGTTCACCTAAAAAGACACCACAATAAAAAAGGCGATACAGCATTAAATTCCTTTCACAGCCTTCTTGTAAGAAGAATTTCCTTACCAAGTGAAGTGATTTGGTAAGTTTTAAAACATATCACATGGTAAACTGTTTGGAACCATATTCTCAAAAGGACCTCAAATAGTTCCTTAAAATGCATGTGGTTGGGAGTGCATGCATCTTTTTACAAAAAAAAACTTCAGAAAAGGATAGATCTAACGAAACTCTTCTGTTCACATCTAGAACCACATGTTCAAAGTAAAATAAACTAGACAGGTCTAACATGCATCAAAACAATCCAATATGCGTGACATTAAAACATCATATAATTCCACATTACTGAATCCATGTGTGGTACAAATAAGCCCACAAAGTCATTAAAGAATAAAATGGCTTGGGGCGCCTGGGTGGCGCAGTCGGTTAAGCGTCCGACTTCAGCCGGGTCACGATCTCGCGGTCCGTGAGTTCGAGCCCCGCGTCAGGCTCTGGGCTGATGGCTCAGAGCCTGGAGACTGTTTCCGATTCTGTGTCTCCCTCTCTCTCTGCCCCTCCCCTGTTCATGCTCTCTCTCTGTCCCAAAAATAAATAAACGTTGAAAAAAAAAATTAAAAAAAAAAAAAAAGAATAAAATGGCTGATAAAAAGCCAATTCTAGATAGTTGTAGTATTTCACTGTCACATGACCGTCCCAAATACCGGAATGGGCATTTTCATACTGGGAGGTCTGGGCTGTCGGCACCAGAAAGGCCAGGGTTCGGTGACTGGGCAGGGGCAGGCTTTAGGAAAGTTCTAGGCTCGGAGGCCAGTCTCCTAACAGCCTACAATGTCTGTGCCTTCCTCTTGTAACAGCCATTCCTCCTCTCCTCTCACGACCCAGCCCTGCTCTTGCTGGCTCCAGACAGAACATCTAGGGGTTTCCAGGCCTCAACCTCTCGCTGTCTCACCTGGCTCCTCCCCACATCCCATCAGTGGGCTCAGGTCTCCTGCCTCCAGCTGATCCTTTCTGAGTCCACAGCCTCCTCCTGCGGCCTGCCTGAGCCCCTCCCTCCCACCCCTCTTCTCCAACAAGGTGTCTCTGCAGTCTTCACTTACACTGAAATCTGACCTCACCCTCAATACACTATGATTTGCTAACTGTCAAGTCTATCGGACACTTTTGCTCACACAGGTTTTCCAAAACTGGATAGTATACTGACCCCTTAGAAAAAGAAAAAAATTCTTTTAAGAAAGTCAAACTTAGGAAAAAATCTTCTTCACTCCAACAAAATTAGGTTTATTGACTTGCCTCAAAAGAGGGCAGCTGTGAGTAAACGTGGCGTGCCTTTCACTAAACAGCTTTCAAATGTAAGCTGCCACCAGGGCAACGCACTCACCGCGGCCCCTGCTGGCGTGTGAATATGGACCACACACTTCACATCCGGCCTTGCAGCATAAATTGCAGAATGTAATGTAAAGCCGGCCTGATTTACTCCCAGATTAGTGCTCCCGCGATCTACCACATCTCCTTGAAAATTGATTTTAACCTGAAAATAAGCAAATCAAAATTTTCAATGTCAAGAGGATTTCAAATTACCCTTACTAGGTATTATTTAAACCAAAGTTTAAAGTGTGTATAACTAGTTCTAAAGTTTTTCTGAGTTAGTCACACAAAACATAAACTTCGTCCCCTTTCTTGGGTTTTGTATGTCTCGTAGGGTTAGGTGTTTCATCATCTAATATGACCTAAACACACATAACGCCCAAGAGGAAAAGGATATTCTTACCAAACTGGACGCGGTCACTTCACTGTAGAGAAGTCCAAAGGGAACGATGAGGAAATGTTCCTGCTCAGAGCTCACTCTGGTCTGTAAGGAAAATTACCGAAAGGAATTACTCACACAGACTCACTCTGGTCTGTAAGGAAAATTAGCTCAAAAATACAATTGGAATGATCTGCATCTCTTTCCACCCACAAACACACAGGCTTGTGTGCATTCAGTGAGCTACACAGGAAAGCACATTAAGTACAGCATCTGTCACGAAGCTATGAGGTACCGGAAGCTTTGTATCATTACGCTGTAGTAATTTATCAGGTGCATGAAGTGCATCTTGGTCACACTCATGACAATTAGCTTTATAGGGAAAACACCTGGTGGCTACCAAACCAGCATCACAGGCCAGAAGGTGGCATCCCGGAGGCATATACTAGTGAAAGCCAAAACTTTCTGGTCCTCAAAACCTGCAGGATAATGAACGATCATAAAAATCACAAACAACAGAGACCTCCTCCTTACCGCTGATGAAGGATTTCAGAAAGTTTCTACACATGATCGTGCCCCTGGTGGGTCTGCCCCTTCCTCCACTGCTTTCTGCCCACAATTCGTTCAACGTGTACCTGCGCTAGATACTAGTGACAACAGGAAAAAAAGAGTCCTGCCCATTTTTAGGATGATTCTGGGAGAACTCAAACGATTCCCCAAAGCCATTCGGTTGGGACGCACTCACTGCTGGTCTAAGAACTGCAATGAGGGCCAGGCAGGCAGAGCGCGGCATCTGTGGGAAAGGACTTAGGGTGTTTAGTACAACTTCCTAACCAGCACAGTGACTTCCATAGTGGTCCAAACAGATGCACACCCGGGGCCTGCCGGGGCAGGTGTACTGAGGCAGGGGGGCGCCCACCACATCCTCACTGGGCCTCATTTCTTCATTCAGCAAACAGCCACCCACGGGGGCGGGGACCGAGCCAGAAGTGAAGCAAGAAAGACCTGATCATCAAAACGTCCTTACTCACACAGCAGAAATTTGTCTTCCTGAATTTCTCTTCACTCTTCCTAGCGTGCAACACAGAACAAACCCAGTCCCCTATTTGTACAATTTAGCTCTCAGATACAGGGAAACTACCCTCCTCCTCCTGTCACTTTCATGCTAAACTCACCTGATTCCCTCAGGATGACATCATGCGGAGCCACAATCAGGTAAGACCTTAGTTAAGATCTCAGCTCTGCCAAGTATGGTCTGTGCTGCTCTGGGGACCCTGCTCTCCTGGCCTCCTTGTCCATAAATAGGGGATGATAAGGGCTGGTACTCACAATAAATAATCAGTACATGGCATCTCCCCACGATTACTATTACTAGCGGTAACAGGATCAACGGCAGTAAATCATGACCATGAATGAGCCTATTCTATATCCACCTCCATGATACCCACTCTCTTTAAATCCCCATTACCCTAGTCCCTGCTCTCTTTGCGTTTCAAAAATGCACACGTGATTTCCATTCTTCCCGAAAATATTTTCCCATTAATGGTGAGTTCACTAGGCTTATATCTAAAGTCAGTTCTTGTACTTTAAAAAGCATGCACCTTTTTAACTGTCTACAACAAAACCACACAATTCCCCCAATTTCCAAGTTGGGCCAAAACAAAAAACATAGAGCAGACTATTACTTTGTGTATTTACTACTGGTTGGAATGAAAAATAAGGAAAAGTTAAATGTCAGATATTTTTACTTACATTAAAAGTTTTCTCTTGCAACATCATATAGAGTATTTAGAAGGCACATGAGTACAAAAGGCACTTAAGTACAAAAAAATCAAACACCCATGTATCTTTCAACAAACTTCAGAACAGAGGAAGTGTAGTATCCTGGAAGCCCCGTGTCCCTTCCCCCAACTCCCAAAAGTAACCACTAACTTGAATTATGTGTTAAGCATCTTCTTCCTTTTCTTTACAGTTTTATCTTATATATATTTATCCCTCAGCAGTATACTGTTTCATTTTTATCTGTTTATGAACTTCAACTAATTGGAATCATACTGTATTTTCTTTGCAGTGACATTTTTTTTCCTCAACAGTATTTTTGAGATTCCTCCAGACAATGACAGACATGCCTATCATGTGTTCACTTCCATTGCTGTAGAGTGTCCACTGATGAGTATACGATTTATGTATCCATTCTTCTGTCAATGGCCATGATTCCCATTTTGCTACTAAAAACGCTGTGAACATTCTTGCACCTGCCTCTAGCATACATGGTCAAATTTCTCCAGAGCGACACCGAATTACCTTCAGAGAGCCTAATTAAATAGACACTCCTGCCAGTAATGTGCTTCTACTATTATCTTCTTTAAAAATTAAAATCTAATGTCTGTGACATGGTATTCCACTGTGGTTTTAATTTATAATTTCCTGGTTAGTAATGAGTTCAGCAACTTTTCATATTTTTATGAGCCATCTTATTTCCCCTTCTGTGCAATTCCTTTCTTGTCTTTTGGTCACAAAATGACCATACTGGTTTGTCCTTTTCATACTCATAGTTCTTTATCTTTTCTAGATACTAATTGTTTGTTAGTTACCTGTAAGGCAAAGTCTTCCAGGTTGTAGGTTTTCTTTTTTCACACTCTGATTTTTGTCCCAAGTTTATTTATTTTTTTGTAGTAATCTGTACCCCCCAACATGGGGTCTGAGCTCACAACCCCAAGATCAAGAGTCACATGCTCTTTCAACTGAGCCAGCCAGGCACCCCTATTTTTACTCTCTTTATGGCATCTTTTAATAAGAAATTTGTTCATTTTAAAGTAGTCAAATTTACCCATCTTTTCTTTTATAATAGGTGCTTTTGTGTCTTAAGACCTCTTTCCTTACGTCAGAAGTTAAAGGTCAATGGCACGCCTGGGTGGCTCTGTCAGTTAAGTGTCCAACCTTGGCTCAGGTCATGAACTCACGGTTGGTGAGTTCAAGCCCCGCATCGGGCTCTATGCTGACAGCTCAGAGCCTGGAACCTGCTTCAGATTCTGTGTTTCCCTCTCTCTCTGTTCCTCCCCTGCTCGCACTCTCTCTCTCTCTGTCAAAAGTAAATAAAGATTTTAAAAAATTAAAAAATAAATAATTAAGAAGTTAAAGGTCAATGATTTTTGCCTATATTGATCCCAAATTTTTTTTTTTTTTTTTTAGTATTTATTTATTTTTGAGACAGAGCGTGGGTGGGGGAGGAGCAGAGAGAGAGGGAGACACAGAATCTGAAGCAGGCTCCAGACTCCAAGCTGTCGGCACAGAGCCTGACACGGGGCTCAAACTCATGGACTGCGAGATCATGACCTGAGCACAAGTCAGACTCTCAACCAACTAACTGAGCCACCCAGGCACCCCCATTCTAAAATTTTTAAAGTGTTACCTCTCACATTTAATTCTGAATTCATTGGAATTCCTTTGTGGGTATAAATATATAAGGTGGGAATCCAATGCAACTTTCCAATTTCAATTTTTCACTCCAACTGTGCCAGCACCAATTACTGCCTAGTGCACTCTTCCCATGCTGCTCTGCAACGCAGACTCTTTTGTGCCTCTGATTTCAATAAATGAGATCCAGCTCTGGGCTCGGTTCTGTCCCACTGGTCTGTCTCTTCCTTTGCCCAAAACACACTATTTTAATTAGTATCACTTTTACAAATTCAGTTAATAGGAAAAAACTCTCACTTAGTTCATCTTAGCCATTCTTGGACTTCGTCTTCCCTATAAACTTTACAAGCATACTATCAGGTTCCACATTAAAAAACTATTACATACCATTTTTTAATGACTTCTTGTTTCCTAGTATCTATGGCATAATTCATAGTTATAAACAGTATACATTTTATATTCCCTCTTTTGTAATAACTATTTTTCATTTTTTCCACATGGTCTATATACGTATTTTTCATAGTATGTAACATTCCCTCAAACTGATGTTGAATAACTGGGGCATTTTCCACCTACCACTGGATATTCAGACTCAAACTTTATTATTATAAATAATGCTATCACTTTTTCTTCTTTGACATATTTCATTAACATGTATTTCCAAGAGTGAGCCTAATAAATCTACATATTTTAATGGAAAAAGCTTAAAATATGATTTTCTGAGTCTGAAGCAAAAAAAGGAAAAAGTGCTGGGACACCTGGGTAGCTTAGTCAGTTAAGCATCTCTGACTTCGGCTCAGGTCATGATCTTGTGGTTCATGAGTTCAAGCCCTACATTGGGCTCTGTGCTGACAGCTCAGAGCCTGAAGCCTGCTTCGGATTCTGTGTCTCCCTCTCTCTGCCCCTCCCCTTGCTTGCATTTGGTCTCTCTCTCTCTCAAAAACAAACATTAATTAAAAAAAAAAAAAAAGAAAGAAAAGATGCTAAATACAGATGTAAAGTGAAAAAAGAGTGAAGGATATTTCCACGTAAGTTTGTTTTTGTTTTTTTTAAGTAGGCTTCACACCCAGCACAGAGCCCAATGCAGGGCTTGAACTCAGGACCCGGAGATCAAGACCAGAGCTGAGATCAAGAATCCGACACGGGGCACCTGGGTAGCTCAGTCAGTTGAGCGTCTGACTCTTGATTTTGGCTCAGATCAGGATCTCACGGCTCATGAGTTCAAGCCCCACTGCCAGCGCAGAGTCCGCTTGGGATTCTCTGTCTCTCTCCCATCCCCTGACTCGTGCTCTCAAAAATAAATATTAAAAAAAAAAAAAAAAAAAAGTC